TAAAAATAGATCTACAGGTATTGAGACAATTAGACAACTGATGAGATATTGTAATACCACTGTATGTAAGATACTGCATACTGTTTGGCTATATATTGCTTGTTCTCTCACTCACTCACTCCCTCTTCCTCTCTCTCTATATATATATACATACATACATATATATATATATATATATATATATATATATATATATATATATATTATTATATTTATATTAATATATATATAGATAGATAGATAGATATATTATATATATATATTATATTATATTATATTATATTATATATATATATATATATATATATATATATATATATAATATATATATATATATATATATATAACCAACCGGCAGTGACCTTCGTAAATGGAAAGGCTGGGAGGGGGGGAAAAGTCCCTCCCACCCAGCAAGTGAGGCGGACTGTGGGCCCTGCTGCGAGGGCGACTGCTGGGGCGCAGGCTAGGAATAGGAACTACTCGTCTCGCCTGCGCTCTGGCAGCCGCCAGCCCAGAGTGAAGTTTGTGGGGGAAAGCCCTCAGGAATCCCACAGGTGGATAATGGGGCACGCAGCCCGCCACCCCCTTTTATGTGGGGTAGCGTCGGTGGGGGTGGCAGAGGTGGCATCCACCCGTAGTAACTGCCTGAGGCTGAATCTCAGGCGGGAAGTCAGGGTGGGGCTGCTGTCGAGGGAACTGGGGAGGCTCAGAGTTGAGGTAGCTGCTCTCTCAGAAGTGAGGAGGCCTGGCAGCGGCATGACCAGTGTAGATGGCTATACTTAATACTGGTCGGGCCGCAGCGACGGTCATCACCACCAGAGAGTAGCCATGGCCATCTCCAGCAGACTTCAGCCCTCAGTATTAGAGGTTACTCCTGTTGATGAGCGTATAATGGTATTGAGACTGAATCTATTCATGTCTCTTATTGCTGTGTATGCTCCTACCGATGTTTGTAAATTTGACGTGAAAGAGATGTTCTACGCCAAACTTGCATCTGTGGCAGACAGATGTCCCTGGCGAGATATTCGCATTGTTCTGCGGTATCTGGTTATGATTGAGCTGGTTATGAGATTTCTGTCGGTCCCTATGGCTCAGGAGCTGATGCCAGTAGTGAGAATAGCCTCCTTTTCCGGGACTTTGCTAGGTCCCAGAAATTGAAGATTTCTGGCTCCTGGTACCAGTGCCCGGAGCCACATCGTTGGACATGGTACAGCGATGCGGGTAATGCAGCCAAGGAGATCGACCACATACTCATTAGCACTCATTGGGGGATTCTCCAGAATTGCAGGGTGTACAGGAGTGCTGTGTTCTGTGGTAATGACCATAGATTGGTTGTGGCTACCCTCTGGGTCCACTTCAAAACTCCCAAGTGGTCAAATGATCACCCTAGGGTGTTTCATTTGGACAGGCTGAGGGAGGGTGAGTGTGCCCACGGGTTTGCTGAGGCAATCTCTGGTCGTTTCACAATGCTCGACAGTCTGACGGACCCTGTTCTCCTGTGGGATACCTTTAAGCATGAAACGCTTGATGCAGCTCAAGATACGATTGGTGTACACCCAAGAGCAATACAGAATTTCATCTGGCAAGAGACACTGTAGGCCATAGATGCTTGTCGTGTGGCTCGTCTGACAGGGGATCGGGAATTGCACCGGTCTCATGTGCGCAGAACTCGATCTCTGTTAAGAAGGGACATAGGAACAGTTTATTAGGAGCCTTGCAGAGGAGGTAGGCCATTTCTTAGTAAATGACCTTCGTCCTGCATACCAAGCCCTGAGAAAACTGAACTCCAAGCCCTCTTCACAGGTGACAGCAGTTTGCTAAGTAAGTGGTCAGATCGTTTCAGAGCCTGTTGCGGTGCGGGAACGCAGGGCTGAGTATTTTGAGCAGTTGTATTAGGTTGACCCACCAACAGTTGACTTGGATGCGGGGAGTGCCAAGATCCCGTTGCCGGACCCACCCATCAGTGAGGATCCTCCCTCCCTAACTGAAGTTAGGAGGGCGATCACCAAGCTGAAGAGTGGTAAAGCAGCAGGTATCTGCATCATACCAGCTGAACTGTTAAAGGCTGGTGGTGAACCTATGGTGCAGGGGTTACATGCTGTCCTGGCTGCCATCTGGCGGACCGGTAACGTCCCTTCTGACCTGTTGTGCGATGTGGTCATCATTCTCTGGAAAGGGAAGGGGAACCATTGGGACTGTAGCAATCACTGGGGCATCACACTACTCAGTATACCTGGTAAGGTTCTCGCACAAACCCTTCTGACGTATGAGAGACCATCTACTGAGGCACCAGAGACTGGAGCAATCCGGAATCACTCCTGGTAAGTCCACAATAGACCGTATCCTTGCGCGTCGAGTCATTGTAGAGCGCCGACGTGAGTTCGGGCATGGGCTGCTTGCAGCCTACATCAGCCTCAAGAAGGTGTTCGACACGGTGCATCGGGAATCACTCTGGAAGATCCTGAGACTGAGAGGAATTCCAACAAGGATTATTGGACTT